TCTGTGTGGCGGGTGTAGGGAGTACTTCTTCCACCTGTAATGACACAACCCAGGGGCAGAAAAACACAGTATTGGAACTCCCACAGTAGCTCTACCTATGAATTGTTGAGAACTTGGAAAAGCAGAGGCTGGAAATTCAGGTCTTGTACTGTATGTGGAAGGAATATCTTTCTATTACCTGGTGTAATTATGGAAGACAGCCGTACGGATATTCTGCTGAAAACTCTCCTGTTACTATTCAGTTGTCGCTGTGCCAACTCCTCTTTGTCTTACCTGTGTGAGTACCCACGCTACCCATCGTAGGCGTGACAGATCCGAGAACATGCTAAGCACATTGCAAGAGCAGGTCATAAAGTCTCAAGCCCAGATGGAGAAAAAAATGCAATTGTTAAAAAAATATTTCTTTCACTTCAAAATGATCTGTACCAGGACTTGCAAATGTTATTTTTGTACTTTACAAACATGTGTCAGCCCAGCTATGTGAGGCCTGAAAGTGATGGTGAATGATCTTCCTAAGAAGAGCTGCTCCAGCGAGAGCTCACATGATGGACATAGGCATGCTGTCAGGATGAGCTCATGTTACTCAAGCGGATATGCTAAGCTAGACTGCCAGCAAAAGTTTGTCTGTGAGCAAAGGAGAACATTGCCGATGTAGTATACTGATGGAATTACTGTGGAGAAGCTTTCTTAGTGCAGACCTAATCACAAAAAGATTAGAATAAAGGTTCAAGACAGATAAGCAGTCTCAAACAACAGGATTTGAACTTCCCTGCTTTCTTGTTGCAGTAGGTTCTTCTTGCTGAGTGCTCTAGGGATGCAGATTTGATACATTTTCCTGAAAGGAGGACTAGAGTCTGGTAAAGTGATTTTTAAAGAATTTGGCCTTCCAAAAGAAGGGTCTGTGAAAAAGCGAGAGGAATCTTATCTTGAATGGAAGATTTGACTTACTGGTTTTGGATTATTCCAGTTTGTGTTTAGCAAAAGACAGCGATTAAAGCACCAGCCTTTGGCATTCCTTATTTCACATAATCGTTATTTATTTTAAGTTATCGCTTCCCACTATTGTGGATTGCAATGGTAGAAATACAGGGACTATTACTTTTCCATTGATGTTGCAGTCCTCTTTTTTGGTCACTAAGCTTAAAACACAGTAATGAAACATCCCTACTAGTTATTTTGACAACTTCTGCTCAGACCTCTACTGCAACCAGTGTCAAGAAGGAAAGCTCATGATCAGGTTTGGACCTTTATCATTGTCCCCAGCTGTCATCCATACCCATAAGCCACAGGGCTTGGTTCTGGTCCTTTTCTCTGCTGTTCTTAGCTTCACTTGAAGCTAAAAGAAAGGGATTGATTTTAAAGCAAATATTCCTCCCACTGGGCTGCACAGGGCTTTTGTTGATGGTCCATAGGGAATTAGTCACATGATTTTGGATGTTTGCTTTTTCCACCTGATGAATTACATTACAAGAAGTTAGAGTTGCATCAAAAATTTACTTGGGCAAACTTACACCTGAGGGAGCAAGGGTGACTTAAAAGTGACGTATTAGTGCACCGTTCCAGGAAGCGCATGCTCTGAAGTACTATTGTTTTCTGGCTGCTTTACATGGCTATACTCGGCTAATCCTTTTGTAGCCATGTTTCCAAGTCTTTTAAATGGAAGAGGCATCTAGTTTTATTATTACTGTTACTATTAAAAGGACTATATTGTATATGACCATTCTTTGATGACTGGGGGAGAAGGGAGTAGAAGAGGGAAATAAATCAAGTTCTCTGTATTTAGGCAGACTCTTTCTCTCCTTTTCTCCCTTCCTTCCTTCAAAATGATCAACATTTTGATTAATATTGATGATGCCTTCTGGATATCAGCTGTCTTTTCCTGGAGGTGCAGACAGCAGCTTGAAGTAGTTTGTGGACCATTCTCTGCTGTTTTATTGACTATCAGATCCATGGACCACAAGTGAAGCAGTGCTACTTCAAATGATTCCCTGTGAGGTGGTTGTGAAGTTCTGCTGGTCAGGGCACAGGAAGACAGCAACTCGACAGAGTAGGTGGCTTTCCCTCTCCTCCACCAGGGACTTAGAGGAAGTCTTTGGCAGAAGGACGTGGATTGAGGCTTGCTGTCCTGCATAACCTCCTGCAGAGACGTGTGTAATGCAGCTTTTCCATGTGAACAGTTGTTGCTGCTGCTGGGATGCTGTGTAATTGAAAATGGACAATTGTGTGGTCTTTCTCATCACCCATTGGAGACAGTTCATGAGTGTCAGTGAACAGGGAGTTGAATGGTAGCTGCGGCACTTCCCCTATGAAGTCATGCATGAAAGCCCCTGAGAATCCCAGTGGTGGAACTCTGTGCTTCTTCTCAAAAACTGTGCCCTAGATGAGCCAACCTGCTTCAAAAAGAGATATTTCTGCACCTAATTCTACTTCTTCTACTCCGCTCTTGTGAGACCCCACCTGGAGTGCTGTGTCCAGCTCTGGGGGCCCCAGTACAGGAGAGACACGGAGCTGTTGGAGCGAGTCCAGAGGAGGGCCACGAAGCTGATCAGAGGGCTGGAGCACCTCTCCTGTGAAGACAGACTGAGAGAGTTGGGCTTGTTCAGCCTGGAGAAGCGAAGGCTCTGGGGAGATCTAATTGTGGCCTTCTAGTACCTGAAGGGGCCCTACAGGAAAGCTGGAGAAGGACTGGTTACAAGGGCATGTAGTGATAGGACAAGGGGTAATGGCCTTAAGCTGAAGGAGGGTAGATTTAGATTAGATGTTAGAAAGAAATTCTTCACTGTGAGGGTGGTGAGGTACTGGCACAGGCTGCCCATAGAAGCTGTGGCTGCCCCCTCCCTGGAAGTGTTCCAGGCCAGGTTGGATGGGGCTTTGGGCAACGTGGTCTAGTGGAGGGTGTCCCTGCCCATGGCAGGGGGGTTGGAACTAGGTGATCTTTGAGTTCCCTTCCAACCCAAACCATTCTATGAGTCTATGATTCTTTGATTCTATACTTTGTCAGTGAACTCTCTTTCAGCTCTGTAATTTTCTTTTTTCATTTGTGACAGTTACTCTCACCAGAAATGCAGGCTATTAAAAAGGTATCGGTGGTAAATCTTCCGTTTTCCAGGGATAAAATATTTCTTATCAGTAGGAGAATATATGTTGCTGTTATCTGAAAAAAGAGGTTGCCCTCTGTTTCCTTTGGTTCACAGGATCTTCTGTTGTCCTGATATGTTCAAAGGGGCAAGTTCAGTCTGAAGGAATTGGTTTATTATGGTGCAAAAGTAGCTGAGTCAGGACACATTTGTTAAAGCTTAGTACTTCAAATGGCTCAGGATAAAAATGATGGGAAGAGCTCTTGGACTGTGCCGCAGTAGTTAGCATCCTGACCAAGACTGGTCTGGAGAGAAAGCCGTGACAGCACCATGCACCACCACCATAGCAGCACCCTGTGCCTCTGGCTGAGATTACAACCAGCTCAAGGGCAGGCTTCTTCATCCTATAGATGGCTAGCGATAATTTTGGCCAAATTGTTTTGATTTCCCTTGACGTTCAGTATATGAAAGCATTTATAATATGGGCAAATCTCACTCTAAAGGGTAAGTGATAAAATATATTCAACACAAATCTGTGTCATAACTTAGCCTTAAATATAGGTTTAAAGGTAGACAGTCTGATTAAAACTAAAAGGTCATTATTTTACATTGTACAATTTTATTTGTAGCTATAAATCATAACACAATTTGTGGAAGGAAAAAAGTTATTAAACTGGCAGTATTTATTCCGTTAAGGTGAACAAAATGCAGCACGTATTTCTGAGTTATGATAGCCGGGGAAAGGAGCCAAATCACTCTGCTAAAAATTAGTTTGCCAATAATTTTACAGAACGATGACAGCGTAGCTTCAAAAACAAATCCTTTATAGGGAAATGGGATGGCTGCATGACAGACTCTCTGAGCTATGAATTCTCCACAGCTCATGGACCAGGAACTGCTTTAACAATTAGTCTTCAGGGATTTTATTTTTTTTCCAGAAGTTAGACAATGGCTGCTGTCTGTAACTGAAAGGTCACGCTGTATCATAGACTGGACATAAGAACTGAAGAATTCCGAGGTTTAAGTCAGAAAGATTCCTCCTAACTTACTGTCTTGATCTGTTTAGGAGGCTTAACTATTCACTGCCCCCATCTCAGAAGTTGAGGTGGAAATCAGGACCACACAAGGATATTGCTAGCACTTCAGTAATAAGCCCTGGGGTTTTTTTACATGGCAGAAGGCATGCATGCCACATTTGTAACACACGTTAGAGAAGAGCTCAAAAGAGACTCTGAACTCTTTCTGAATTACAATTTGACTGATGAGCATGAAGACTGGAAAGTAACCCGACAGACTTTTCCACACTGCTGCATCTTCCTTCTTGCTCGAGTCTGTGTTTCTCTGACCGCTATATTCACATGAAAACTCCCCATTTTGTATGCTAGTCATTCCTTCAAAACAACACTGAGAAAGGAGCGTTGCATGTCTCTTCTTATTTGGAAGAGGGCTCTTCTTAGAGACCTGCCTTGGTGCAGTACCTTCTGGGTGTGTTTTATCACCAGCTTGCTGAGCAGAACATCTCAGGGGTTCACTGCGACAGACTGTAAGTAAGAAGAACAAAGCAGCTATACTCATCAAGCCTTTAGTCTCGGTTACTCATTTAATAAAGAGTTGTGCGCTCTTAAACACGCTAAAAAGCTGTCCAGATTTCCAGAGCTTTTCAGCAATGCACCATTTTTTAAGCTAATAATCTTTTTCCAGCCATCTTAGAAGCTTTGCCAATTTGCTGAGCCTGGCTGGCAGAGGTCACTGGCTGCCTGAGGATGAAGCTGGTGATCACAGACATGCACAGTTCTGCTCTCAGACAGTGAGGATTTAGAAATAAGATGAGCCGGTGCTGGTTGTATCTAAGAGTAAGTGTGCAGATGTCTGAGGAAGGTGTTTTCATCTCGTGTAAACATTGTTCTTATATTTTTGTTGTAGAAGATGATGTGTCAAATGTACAAATAATGTGTGCCTGGTGCCAGAAAGTTGGAATCAAGCGCTATTCCCTGAGTATGGGAAGTGAAGTGAAATGCTTCTGCAGCGAGAAGTGCTTTGCAGCTTGCCGAAGAGCATATTTCAAGAGAAACAAGGTAAGAGAAATAAGGAAAGATGTAACCTACATAGACATAGCTTTAATCAGACCCAACCTGGGTCTCATTTAGCATCTAATAGAAGCTTTTTTTCTTTTGTTTTCTCTGTTTCACCTAGTCCCTCCACTTTCCATCTGTACTGTCTGTTGCACTGTCAGCCCTTTACTAACCCTGTTTCTTTCAGTTTCCTTCAGCTCGATGCTTGGGTTTTGAGAGAGTCAGGGAATTTAAATACTATTAAGCAGTAACATAAGAGTCCCAATTTGGCCTTAGAGTCTCAGGACACTTGTTGCATATACACAACGAAGAGGAGGAATCACAAAAATAGAGTCGAGGAGGGTTGTGTATGACAGCGTCACTAAGTGCCATGGCGTTGGGATCATGGCTAGTGGGTAAATGCTTTTAGGGCCTAAGCCTGGGTCCCATCACGATAGCGGACGTCTTCCACTGCTGCTAGTGAGCTCTAGTTTCATTCTTTTAAAGTGTATCATTACTAATAAATCATCATTGCTGCAAAATTCAGAGACTATACAGGGTTTGGGTTGGGGCAAGCAATGTTAGAACATCTAGAGTAGCGTGAAAACCCCTCCTACTCAATTTAAATTTAACTCTGTCTAAAATTAGAATGCAATCCTAATATTGAATGTCTACAAAAATTGCTGTAATCACTGAAGTACAGTGCCTGAAAATGCCCCCTAGGTTACTTGAGCAGCTGTTTCTGCAGCAGAATGTGCAATATGTCATTTAAAGAAAAATAACGAAGGAACGCTCCAGCATTTTTAGTTGTTGAAAAAGTAACTGTGTCCTTTTGGTGTTTAATAGTATGAGTATTTGGGTAGCCTTTATTGTCTTAGAAATATTTATTATTCATAAAACGTTTTACATTTTGGTTTTCTAAATGATGCCATTTTCCCTCATGCTACAGAACATTCAAAGCCCATAAAGTTCAAAATGAATTCAGGTCTCTAAATCTGGTCTTTTGCATCTGTGGTAATAACAAATAAATACACATGGATCCTAGATTCAGGATGCAATGTTATAGCAAATTACCCTCCTTTATAAATTTGGGTCACATCATCCTGCCAAAAAAAAAAAAAAAAAGGGATAAAAATGCCTGAAGAATTAGGTTGCAAAAATCAGTAGAGTGGAATTTTAGTGGCAGTCTTGGAGAATCAAGCTCATAATGTCTACTGGAGCAGACAGGCAAGTTAAAGTCACATGAGTCTTCTGCAAGGAGTGGTGTTTACATCCTTTTTATCTAGAAGAAGTGTAGAGGAGGGAAACACATGCTCCTTAGATGCTCCTCATTTGAAAACAAGTTCTCTTGGGTGTATGTGTCTGTGCACACACACACGTTTATGCACGTGCAGTTCAGTGTGCCTTACAACATGTAAGACACTCTGGGGTGACAGGATCCAGATCACCGTCAGCTGATGCTCCCCTGACTTTCAGTCACAAATGTACATGGGTAAGATAGTTCATAGTAATGGAGGCATTGTCAGTGGTCCTAGTTAGGTGGTCCTGTGTGTCCAGCACTGATGAGTACCAGATAATTTGGGAGACTGGGGAGGCAGATGAAAGAACAACCAGTTCATGGTGGATTCTCCTTCCTCTACAGCTTAGATCCTGAAACAGGAAGTTTAGATCCCTCACTAAATGAAAATAAATACATGTTAACATAATGCATAGGTGTACTTCAACCTTCTGCTAACGCATGAGCAGTAGGATTCAGTAATAGTTTATGGCCATGAATTCAGGCAGGCAGGCAATATATGAAAAAGTTCCTTTTTAGCTGACTTAGAATTTATTACCCTTATGTTTTTTTGGAGGACCTCCTCGTCCTTGTATTATGAGAAAGGATGAATTAAAGCATCTCATTCCCTCTGGTTGCCTTTCCTACACTTCTGTTAACTTCTTCTGGAAGCTAAAAGATGTTGAATATTTCCATACGGAAAGCTCTCTGTATTCATTATTTTTTATCTATCTAAATACCAATAGGTGTTCCTAATCTTTTCATATACCATCACATCCCAGTGAAATGTCCTATTCTTCACTAAAGAGGTTGCAAATTAACAAAATGTCATATGGGAGGACTTGTCAAAACATGACAAGATAACATATACTTGATAATGTGTTGGTTGTTACCTTGGCTTCACTTCAAAGCTAAGCCAGTGAGTCAAATTTTCTTCCTCTTTGCACTTGTGGAACTTGGAATTGCGCAGGATCTGACCCAGCAGGGCAAATCTGGAGCTGCCCCTTGCATGTGTATTTATGGCATTAGATGATCCGAGGACAGAATATTTAGGAAATGCTGCCATTAAATTAAGACAGGTACAGTAGAATTCAGCAGACCTTCATGCTTCTTATTTTGCACTTCACCTGTTAGTAATAGAGTGGAGTCTTGAGGAACAAGATCAAAGGAAAAGACTGCAATAGTTTCAGATTTAACCGCTGACCTTTAATCTGTTATTACTAGTCCAACAGTGTACCTGTCTTCTCTATGAGTCTAATGCTTATTTATGTATTTGGGAAGTTATGCCACTCTACACTTTCTCATTTTTCAAACAGAGAAGTAAAGTAGTCACGTTTCACCTGCTTTATGTATGTTCTAAACAGTGGATCTCCACAACAATATAGTGTTGTATTACGTTAAATATGTACAGCTGCTGCATCTCTGGGAGCTGATAGGACTTTGTGGTCACTTCATTTAAGGCTTGAATTTCCTAATGGATCGTGTTAAGCAGTCTTCCCTCCCTCCCCTAGATAAGAAGTGCTGTAATAAGCACTTGCTTAAAATGATAGGACTGTTCGAACTGTAAAGAGTAAGTGATCACTAATGTCTGAAAATGACCCTAAGTAATCCTGCAAATTGGGAGGCACAATCCCAAGCACAGCTATAGGCTGG